CTCCTGCGGGCTGGCCGGCGCGGCGCTGCGCTGGAGCTCTTCGAGACCATGCCGGCAGCCTTGAAGAGCGAGGCGGCAGGGTTTGGGCTGTTGGAGATCAACCGTCAGGTACCCATCGGTCGTTGAAAGTAGGTGTTTTTGGAGTCACGTATCTGAATCTACTTTAAGCGCCTTCCTACTTCAATGATCGAGTGGCTTCACCTTTTCCGTCCTCCTGAGGGGGCGGACAGAACCCAATCTATTTTCAACGCCTTCCTACTTCATGTTTCTACCTACTTCTTCCGACCGATGGGTAAGGTCGGCCACGCGCAGAGAGGGGCAGAGGGCGAGGGAGGAGGCGCTGCTTCTTGGGAGGAGCGGGCCTTATCTATGGACGTGAGGCCGGCGCCTCCTGGCAAGCAGCCGTCTCCTTCTAAGAAGCCTTCCTCCCTCCCCCTCCCTTGTACGCGTCGTGAACAATTGTTCTCCTTGTTTTTGGCATCCAGTGAGCCCTTGCCAGGCCTCGTGCCCCGTGACTATCAAACAGCAGCTCAGGATGAAACGGGTTCCTGGGAAGGGGTCCAGACCTTTGGGGTCCAAGCTTTGAAAAAAAACATGCTGTCGGGGGTCTGGGAACGGGGTTCAGTGCAAACGGGGCTCAGCCAGAGCGCTCGATCCTGCAGGATTCTGTAAGGCCAGATTTTGGCCGAGCCGAGTTTGTGTGCCGCTCGCGGCCCTGGAGGCTGCTGTACACATTGGCAGAGTCGGTTTGGAAATCTCCCAAACAACTGTATTTTTTTCTACAGTGGCCGAGCTGGGTTTGCGCTGAGCCAGGTTAGTCCATGCCCGGTGGGAAAAGTGACCGCCACGAAGGCCTGCGTTGCATCTTCGGAGGAACTTGTCGCAGTCTTCTCTTTTCATCCGCCGCGGGTTGGACGTGGATTCGACGCGAATGCGACACGGATTCGACGCGGATTCGAGGGGGGATTCGCGGATTCGATGTGGGTCTGACACGGTTTCGACGCGAATAGCGACACGACAGGACAGACAGTGCCCCGACGATGCAACATAAGAAGGCCGGGCCGTGCAGAAGGTGGTGGGGCGAAGGGGATGGCCTTTTGAGGAGGCAGGGGCGTGGCTTTGTGAGAAGCCTTGCCGCCTTTGAGAAGGTTTCTCGAAAGCCCTTGGGGCCCTGACAGGAAGCACCCTGGCCTCTTTGAAGGCCACCCCCCACTTGCTGCGCCCTTCTGTCCGACCCCCAAAATGTGGGATCCTGGAGGTAGTGGGGTCCTGAGGGATTCCGTGATCGAGCATCGCTGCATCGAGCGAGGCTTCTGGATGCTTTTGGCTCGCTTTTGGGCATCTGGGAGGCTCCTCGTCGTCAGGGCTGGATTCGCGTCGAACGCCTGGGGTCCAGGCTGGAGAGAAAGGGGCCCTGGAGGCGAAGGGTTCCTGGAGGTTGTGCGCCGCCTCCCGGGCTCCCGGGGGGCACTTCCCGGGCCCCCGCTCCCCGGGGAAGCGCGGCTCTTGAGGGGAGCCTCGGGATGCAGGAGGAGGAGAAGGAGGAGGAGGAGGAGGAGGAGGGGACCCGCTTCTCAGAGGAGCAGGATGTGATGGTAATGGTGCGTGCTAAGATTTTCAAGGGTTCCAGGATTTACTGTATCGCCATTCTCCACTGGCTGCAGTATCGCCATTATCCACACTGGCTGCAAGAACGAGGGCCGCTAGATATTCTGGAAGTCTTGGAACACATCACGAGCCAATCTTATCATGACATCGCTCTCGCCCTGGCTTCGGCCATCTTCTCATGTGTGGGGAACGCAGGCGTCTCTGCTCTGCCCGGGCGAGGGGAGGTCGCGGCGGCAATCCGCCCACGGACGGCGCAACGACTGCGAAATGCGTCTGCGTGTGCTGAGGGAGTCGTCGTTCGCCCAGCCAGATCATCCGTGCACCGAAACCCCTTGCCCCAGACAGTAAATCATACCCCCCCTTCCCCGCGGAGAGTTTCTTATCCCCGGCCGATGCAGACGTGGTCGGGGCAGCGGGGCGGCAAGGCCGGACTTGACTCTCGCGGGGGACAGGTGCGAATCGAAGCTGGTATCTTCTTGTCTTGACTAGCAGCATCATGAAAAACATATGCCATGGTCATGGGGGCAGTTGGTTATGCAATCTGAAGAAAGTGGCTGTGGCCTGGGAGCTGGATCACACATAGGAGTAGCCCGGGGCTCTAGGGCAGCCTCCATGCCTCCATGCTGGTGGCAGGGATTCTGGGCCCGTCCAAGACGGGCCAGGAGGCCTCCAAAATCTCCACGATGGTCCAAGAGGGATGCGAATCGCCGAGGAGCCGCTCCCACGACGCCCAAGATCGTCCCAAGAAGTCCCAAGAGACCCGCCAAGACGCCCCAAGAAGTCTCCGAGGGCATTCAAGAGCGCCATCAAACGCCAAAGCTGCCCCATGTGCATCTTTAGCATTCACGACTTTTCTGCCCTCACGGCGTTGAAGATGGTCCAAGCAGCCCCCAGGACCGCCCCAAGGCAGCCCAAGAGGCCCCCAAGAACGCCCTAAAACAGCCCAGAAGAGCCCCAATACGGCCTAAGAGTCGTCCGTAGGTAGCAATTCTGGCTCAAGCAATCACTGCTCGCAGTGCCGCCTCGCGCCGAGTGCCCCTACCGTCCGAGCCGCCATGGCCATGGCGGTGCTCGCGGCATCGCTCCTGTGGCTGCTCTGCCCTGCCTGGGCCGCGACCGGGATCAGCGAGGAGGAGAAGACGGCAATCTTGGATACGCACAACACCTACCGCTGCATGCCCGGCGTGCCGCTGTTCGAGTGGGACGATGCCGCTGCTGCTGCTGCGCAGGCGCATGTGGACGCCGGCAAGTTCTAGTTCGGGTAGCGTGACTGGGCAGAGGGCGACGGATTTCTGGTATGAAAATATCAGGTGGACTCCCAATGGCGCGGGGCTGATTCCGGAGTGTAGCCGGAGCTGTGGATCCTACTCTACGCTCGTCTGGAAGTCCTCCGTCAGGCTCGGTTGCGGCCGCGGGACCCGGAACGACAATGGCGGCGATTTCGTGGTTTGTCTTTATTGTGCTGAAGCCAACGTGTGGGGTGGCTTTACGGAAAACGCCCTCTCTCCAAGCAAGACGGCCGACCAGTGCGCGGACCCGTATGACCCGAGCGACGGCCTGGCGCCGACCCCGAGCGTAGCGCCGACCCCGTGCCTGAGCCCGAGCCCGAGCGAGGTCGGGTTGAGTGCGGACTGGATGAAAGAACTCCTGGACACGCACAGCACCTACCGCTGCATGCACGGCGTGCCGCTGTTCGAGTGGGGCGACGCTGCTGCTGCCAGCGCGCAGGCGCACGTGGACGCTGGCGAATTTGGACTCAGCGGCGGATTGGTGGGCAGCGAATATTGCACCGAGCTCCACGCGTGGTCGTCTGAGGAGACTGCGGCGGAGGCGGCGGGGAGATGGTATGCAGAGATTGAGAATTCCCCCGGTGGCACGGGGGCGGTTCCGGACTGCTCCAGCAGCTGCACAGGCTACACCACGCTCGTCTGGAAGTCCGCCGTCCGGCTCGGCTGCGGCCGTGGATCCCGGAACGACAAGGGCGGCGACTGTACGGCTTGCTACTGCTGCCCAGAGGCCAATTCGGGTCGCTTCACGGACGGCGTCTTCCCTGTGAGCAAGACGGCCAAGCAGTGCGCCTCTTGTGCCAGCGATGGTGTCAACGACGATGGCACCGACGGCGGCCCGAGCCCGAGCCCGAGTTCGGACGACGGCCCGAGCCCGAGCCCGAGTTCGCACGACGGCCCGAGCCCGAGCCCGGGCGGCGGCGGCCTCGGCAGCGAGAACCTCGACGCAGGCTCCGCCGTCCAGGCCTCCCTGGCCGCCCTCGCCGTCCTGCTGCTGATTGGCGTCGCCGCGATCGCCGTCTGAGATACGTTGTCAGTACTTGCGTGTGCAACGGCCGGCGACAACCTCTACAGCCTTGCTGCCGCCTGCAATTCCACGCCTGCGCCCGGTCCACTCGCTTTCCCCTGTTGCTTTCGGCCGGGTGCACTTCCGAGTGCAGTGCAAGGTTGCTTGTCGGCGCAGCGCCGCCGTGGCCTGCACACTGATGCCGTGGTAGCTGGGCCGTATAAGTGAAATTGGTGGAGCTATACGGGTTCAAGACTGCCTTACGGAGGCATCCCAGGCGTTGGTTTCGCCTCTTCCTCTCCCTCCTCCTCCTCCTGCTTCTCCTCCTCCTACTCCTTCTCGCTCTGCGGCATTTGGCCGCGCTGCGGTGTTCGTCCACCGAGCCAGGCCGTCTTTGAGCAACGCGCGGTGCCCAGGGGGCACGCGCCCTTTTTTAAGGAGGAGGAGGAAGAGGAGGAGGGAGGAGGAGGATCGAGGATCGAGGGTCGAAGACCTCTGAAACCTTTCTATGCGCAATCTCGTCTTCCAACGATGCACGTTGGGGCAGACGCAGCACCGGGATGCGCCCACGGACAGCGACCGCTGTTGCTGGTGGGCATCGTCGAATGTGTTCGGTCCCCATTTCAAGCTTGCCAGGCTGGAGGCCTGGGGCCAGTGGGCGGTGGCCCTCATCGATCGGGGGAACGTAAGACTCGGGTAAGCCGGAACTCGGGTTTGCCGACGTTTTTTGACGAGCGCGCCCTGGATTTTGACGGTCCAGTTTTCGTGGGATGTTTGCAGTGGGAGCTCGCGTCAAATGTCGGATGGCGTCTCGTCGTTTTTGTGATGGACCCCGTCAGGCCAACCCGCATCCCCCGTACCCTACTCTTACGCCTCCCCGAATCGAGGGGCCTTCCAGCCCCTCCCGGGGGGCGCCGCGAGGGGGGTCGGCCGCGGAGCGCCGCAGGGGGACCGGGGTCTTCGGGCTCGCCCGCGGTCCCCCGCGCGGCCCCCCCCTCCCCCCCTCGCGGCGCGGCGACGGGAGCTCGCGGACTTTCCCGCCATGTCCGCGCCCCACCTCCTCCTCCTCCTCCTCCTCCTCCTCCTCCTCCTCCTCCTCCTCCTCCTCCTCCTCCTCTCTCCTCCGACTCGGTCCTCGGCTCCTCCCTTCTGCTTGCCCTCCTCCTCCCGCTGCTGCTGCTGCCGCCCATGGGAGTTCTCTGCGCGGCGCTGCACGTCGAGGGCTGCCCCCCCACACATCTGGTCGTCAACCTCGACAGGAAAGACGGATTGGGGCATGTCCTCCTCAACCTTTCTGGGGCGTGGTAGGTTCATAAACATACTGATGCATAGGCGTGTGGGCGTGGGATCTTGCAGTTCAAGTCCTGCTTCTGTGTGCGTGCGCGTGTGTGTGTGTGTGTGTGTGTGTGTGTGCATGTGTACGTGCGTATGTCTCTCTGTCCGTCTGTCTGTCTGTCTGCCTGCCTGTCTGTCTATCTGTGTCTTCCTGTGTTTCTGTGTGCATGCATGCAATCATGTATGTGTGTACGTATGAGAGTGTATGTATGCTTGTCTGCATTTATGCCTGCATGCATGTATGTATGCATGTATGTATGCATGTATGCATGTATGTATGTGTGTGCGGTTGTATGTATGTATTTATGCATGCGTGCATGCATGCATGCATGTACATCCCCGTTGCGCAAGTTTATTCATTTTGGCTAGACTTGCCATGTCTGGGCTCTGTGGTAAGAAGTAGTATGGTAGTGATAGTTATGTGTGATTTCACACGGGGACATTTTCAGAATTGCGTGGAAGTGGCCAGGAGTGACGTCCCCCCTGTGAATTTACAGGGAGAGAGATTTTATCCCGAATTAGTTTTACCCGCCCAACCAGGCCGAAGGTTGCCATGCTAGGAGTCTACGGGGGGACGGGGGCCACCGCTCGGAGACACCTTTCTCGTCAGTGCCCAAGATGAGTAACTTTCGTATCGGGTAAGAATGCGTGCATGCATGCATGGGCTTATGTATGTATATATGTATGTATATGTCTATCTATGTATGCATGTATGTATGTATGCATATGGGTGTGTGCATGTATGTATGTATTCATGCATGTGTGCATGCATGTATGTATGTATGTATGTATGTATGTAGATATGTATGTAACGTATGTATGTATGTATGTATGTATGTATGTATGTATGTATGTATGTATGTATGTATGTATGTAACGTATGTATGTATGCATGTATGCGTGTATGTATGTATATATCTATATATGTATGCACGCATGTCTGTATGTGTGTATGTATGTAGGTAGTTAGATATGTACGTATGCATGCATGCATGCATGCATCTGTGTGCATGTGTGCTTGTGTGTGCATGTATGCATGTCTGTAGGTATGTACGCATGTACGTAGGCATGCATGCATGCATACATGCATGTATGTATGGATGATTGCATCCGTGCATGCATGTATGTATGTATGTATTTATGTATAGCAGGTGTATAGATACATGCATTCATGTATGCATGCATGCATGTATGCATTTATGTATGTACATTTGCGTGTGTGCATGCATGCGTGCGTGTACGTATGTATGTATGTATGTATGTATTTACGTACGTACATACGTACATACGTATGTGTGTATGTATGCATGTATGGATGTCTGTATGTATGTCTGTATGCATGTATGTATGTGTGTATGTACACATGTATATGTATGTGTGCAGGCGTAGACAGATATATGTATGGCTGTTGGTGAGTAAACGAGTGTTACAACCATATTCCTATATCTGTACCCATACATATATATATATATATATATATATGTATATGCGTCTCATTACGGTCGGCCTCTGAATGGCCCCTTGGAAGCTGCGACGGAAGTCGCAGTCAAGTCTTCAGGTCGACGCTCACACTGTATGGAAGCTGAGTGCGGCCAAGATGTGATCATGGCGCGAGCACTTGTCTTTCCCACGGGCTTATACAGGCCCCCCTTCATCCCTCCTCCCAGCTGGGCAGGTAAAGGGCTCCTCGGGGAAGAACGGCCACACTGTTACGCGGAGCGTGCCTTTCCAGCAGAACTTTGCAGCGTGTTGACGATCGTGGGCTGCCTCTTCAAAGCACTTTCTAAGAGGCACTTTCGAAGAGGCCCTTTCTAAGAGGCCCCTTTCTAAGAGGCCCCCATGCCTAAGAGGCACTTTCTAAGAGGCACTTTCTAAGAGGCACTTTCTAAGAGGCCTGTCGTGGACGACCAGGCACTTTCTAAGAGGCCCCCATGCCTTAGAAGGCCATGCTCTTCGTGCCAACCGCCTCCTGCGCGCTGCCCAGGATCGATGGCTCGTCGATCGCTCGGTGCCTGCTGTTCTGGAGCTGGCCGTCCAGAGAGGCTCCCTCCGCACGTGGGGGCTTGGCGTAGCCTCGGTGGGGACGGCAGCGGACCCCTGGGTGCCCAGCGGGGTGCGCAGACGCCCGCTGCTGGCGTTGTCCGCGCCTCGCAGATCTCCGCGTGCCTGAAGAAACAGGTCCTGGAAGAGAGGATGCGTGGAGGTGTGCATTACCAGCCTGGAACGTATCCCTATCCCTATGCTGGGCACCTCCTCATCGATGCCAATCTTAGGGTATGCTGGGCACCTCCTCATCACGATGCCAATCTTAGGGATTCCCTTACTTTTTGAGGGCGAATCCCTAAGACTGTCATCGCCTTTTTGGCGTGTCAATCTCAGGGATAGGGATACGTTCGGGGCTGGTAGGTACAGCTGCGTGCGGCAAGTCCCGCCACCGTGCCAGCCCAGCACCGGGTGGCGACGGGAGCGCACAGCGCCCCGTAACCTGTGACATCCTCTCGTGCCCCGTGGCATGGGAGCAGCACGTGACACACGCTTCTCTGCGCCGTGCCGGGGCGTCTCTCCTCGGGCTCGGCGTCGTCTCGCTCTCTTCTCCCCGCCCACCAAACCACCCCAACCCAACCCGAAGGCCTGAATTTGCCCTCCACTTCCAGTGGGGGGGGGTGGGGGGGCGGGGAACACTGAAAACACACATATGGAACCCGTACCCCCCCCCAATGCTTCTCACTCCTCTTTTTTTCTCGGGGGTTTTCGTTATTTTTTTCTTTCGTTTTTGTTTCTTTTTTTTTTTTGTATTATTTTTCTTTCGGATCCTTCGGGTTGGGTCGGGGTGGTCCGGTAGGTAGTCGTCTTCTCCTCCCCTTTCGAGGACAGAAGAGCACGGCATAAAAAGACAACCTTTCGGAGCGCCGCGCGGATCTCTTGGATCGGCGCGGCGTGCGAGCAGCATGCGACACACACTTCTCTGCGTCGTGCCGGGGCGTCTCTCCTCGGGCTCGGCGTCGTCTCGCTCTCGCCTCCTCCCCTCTCGGACAGAAGAGCACGGCACAGAGACAACCTTTCGGAGCGCCGCGCGGACTTCTCGGATCGGCGCTGGAAGGAGGAGGAGGAGGAGGAGGAGGAGGAGGAGGAGGAGGAGGAGGAGGAGGAGGTGAGGTGGGGAGGAGGGGGGAGGGGGGGGGAGGGGGAGGAGGGGAGGGGGAGGAGGGGTGGGGGGTGGCGGAGGAGGAGGAGGAGGAGGTGGAGGGGGGAGGAGGAGGAGGAGGAGGAGGAGGAGGAAGGAGGAGGAGGAGGAGGACGTGGAGCCCCCCTCCCCGGGGCGCGGAGTGCGCCGTGGGCGGCGCCGGAGGCGCCGGGTCGGGTCGGGGCGGCCCAGCGCCGATCCGAGACACCCGGGCGGAGTTCGATGTGTGCGTTTATGTTTGTGGGTTGTCGTCGGTCCCCTGGAAGATATATCGGACAATATGGGCAGTGGGGGGAAGACAAGAATACTACTACTACTACTACTACTACTACTACTACTACTAATAATAATAATACTACTAATAATAATACTAGTAAGAAGAAGAATAACCATAATAATAATAATGAGGAAAATAATAATACTAATAGTAATATTAATAATAATAACAATACTAATAATAATATTATTATTATTAATAATAATGATAATAATAATAATACTAATAATACTAATAATACTAATAATAATAATAGTAATAATAATAATAATAATAATAATAATAATAATAATAATAATAATAATAATAATATTAATAATAATAATAACAATAATAATAATAATAATAATAATAATAATAATAATAATAATAATGATAATAATAAAATTAATAATAATAATACTAAGAAGAAGAAGAATAATACTAAGAAGAAGAATAATAATAGTAATAAGAAGAAGAAGAAGCGGTCTGCTGACCGGCCGCGGCGGGCCGGGCCCCTGACGGCGCGCGGAAGCGCGCCTGGGCAGACCGAGCGAGACTGGCAATCAGACAGACAAGCCATGCACCAGGCGGCGCGTGGGCGTGAACACATGTGGAAAACACATGTGACAAAAACCCAGGAAATCTGGGAAAATATGGGGAATCCTACC